GGTAAGTGGGGGGCTGAGGAGGTGAGTGGGATAAGGTTGGAGCCAGGGCAGCCAGGAGCCAGGTCATCACTCACCCTCTTTCCAGGGGACCCTGGGGGGCCGGGCTCCCCAGAAGCGCCAGGTGGACCCTGTGGAGATGATAACAACACCAGGATAGAATTCGCTAGCAGTGGTTGAGCATGGCTACGTTTCAGGATGCCTTTGACCCAAAGCCAGCCTTACCCAAACATCACCCAGCACCAGCCATCTCCTGCTTCCTCCCTCAAGCTTCTCACATTCATGGTGAGGCCCCAGAGAGGCAAAGCAGTAACCCACTCCTCTGGCCACCCAATGCGCCTACTCGCCAGCCCAGCCCCTTCTCCCAGCATCACATCCTGTTTCCTCACTCACCGGTCCTCCAACATCACCAGGGTCTCCCTTCTCCCCTGGGGGACCATCTAGACCCTGTGGTGGGAGGGAGGGAATAGAGTTGGGAGGGCTCATGGGGGCACATGAGAATTTGGGGTGAGGCTTGGAGGATAATGAAGGTTATTTGTCCCAGTGACCTTGTCTAGGTCCAGGGGGTGGGGAAACGAGGACACCAGGTCTGTGGGTGTGAGTGGGGGCTTATGGGAGTAAGTAGGGGTGAGTGGGAAACTGTGGGGGTGAGTGGGGGTGAGAATTAGGGAATTTGATGGGGACAGGAAGGCTCACACCCACCGAAACTCCAGGGTCTCCAGGGGGTCCTAGATCTCCTGGGAGCCCTCTGGGGCCCTGGAACACAGAATGATGAGTAATCACATCTCAGAATTATTGCACATTCACTCATTCATTTAACAGATAAATGGTGCCAGGCACAGTTCTGGTTGCTGGGGATACATGGTGAACAAAACACAACATTTCCACCCCAGTAGAGAGAACATTCTAGTGGTTAATGGGGGCAGGTGCTGAGCTAAGAACCTGACATGCATCATCTCACTTCATCCTCCCAGCAGCCTCCCAGCTCAGGACTCACAGAGGGAACCGACCCAGAGGGACACAGCAGGTGGTGGGGTGGAGAGTTCCAAACGGAGGTCCCCCTGACTCTGAAGCTCCTCACTGCCCTCCACCCAAGCCGAGCCCCCCCTCCCCCACGCTGTGGCAGGAGGGTCTCAACCTCTCCCTGACGGCAAATCCCACATCAGCGCCAAGCTCGACCTTGCCATTCCCAGCATGGTTAGAATGATTCCATGTGCAAGCGTCACCCCCACAATGACATATAACCACTGTATTTTCATGCTGATTCATTCATTCACTCAACCATTGAACCATTCATTCAGCCATGTTCTGGGTTGCTCATAGAACCTGCACACTGGAGGACAGGACACCTGGCTGGAAGTCGAGGAGCCGGTTGGAGTAAACACGAGTGCCCCTCCCCCAGCTCTCCCTTCTCCTCCCCCAGGACTCACCACATTCCCTTTGGCTCCATCTTCTCCAGGGGGGCCCTTCTTGCCTGGGGGTCCTGCCGCCCCAGATGGGCCTGTGTCCCCCTTTTCACCAACTTCTCCCTTGGGCCCCTTTGCAGAAACAGAAGTCAGAAGAGCCTGGACTCTCCAGGGGTCAAGGTTCGTATGCCTGGATTTAGGAATCGGGTGGTCTGGGATTTTCTTGGGGTCAGGGGTCAGAGTAGCCTAGACTTCCCAAGGGTGGGAAGTCAAGGGGATCTAGGACTTACAAGAGTCAGGGGTCAGGATAGACCAGTTGCCTAGAGGTCATGGGAAAGGTTGGTCTAGCCCATGTGCCACCCTTCAGTGAATTAGAAAAGGGGTCCCCTGTGGGAAGCTCATCCCCAAGCCAGGGCTTATGTCAGACCCGGGCCCCCATCAACCCCTCGGCCCCACACCCTCGTGCAGTGTCCAGCCTGTGTGTAGCACTGCACCTCCCAAGGTTCTATCATCAAGGTAACCCGGGTGCCCACATGGGTCAGTGGGTGACTTAGGACTCCCCAGAGGGCAAGGTGGCCTGAGATACCCAGCAACCAGGGGTTCCCTGGGATGGGTGCAGGGGCTCAGAAAATAGTCACTCACTGGGATGCCGGGGGCTCCTGGCAGCCCTGGGTCTCCAGCCTCCCCTGGCTCACCCTACAGGAGGCAAAGTGAGGGTTCACTGTTGGAAGACAGGGAAAGGCTCCCCGGGACAGCACCCCCAATCAGAACTGGCTGTGCCTCCACAACCCTGTGTAGTCCACTGTCCTCTCTCTCTCACCTTCTCCCCCACAGCACCGGGCTGACCGACTCCTCCACGCAGCCCTGGAGAGCCCTGAAGGGACAACAAGGGATAGAAGTGAGCCTGGGACCCAACCTCCCCTTCTTGGGAAATGGATGTCCCCCCACTCCGATGCCCTTCCCCCAGCCCCAGAGTCCTCACCTCTGATCCACTAGGGCCATGGGGACCCCGAGGACCTGGAGCTCCATGGGGACCCTGGGGACAGTCAGAATAGCATCAAGTGACCCCATGCCCCCCCCCCAAAGGCTCTAGTAACCACAAGCACCACCCTTGATGCTTGTGACTCCCATGATCCTTAAAGTGACAATGTGTCTTGTGATACCTCCCAACATCAATCTAATGGTCACCCTCACCCTGCCACCACCCTCCCCCTTCCACCCTCCCCCCCATTATCCATACCATGGACCCCACGTCTCCAACCTCCCCCTTTTCTCCAGGAGGACCTGGCAGTCCCTGTGAAACAAAGAAGCAAGAGTGGGGCATAGGGTGTGGGGAACCAGAGGCCATACCCCCAAACTCAGACACCCACCTGCAGGCCAGGGGGCCCAATCACCCCCACGAAGCCTCTCACTCCATCATCTCCTTTCTGCCCAAAGAGGCCTGGGGGTCCCCGGCGTCCCTGAGCCCCGTCTGCTCCCTGGGAGAAGAAGAGGGCCGGGCAAAGTTAGGGTCCAGGTCAATGGTTGGAAATAGGCTCAGGGTCAAACTCAAGATTGAGGTTGATGGTTGGAATCAGGGTTGGGATTAACTGTGGGGAGGGTCAAGGTTAGGTCTGGAGTTAGAAGTGTGGGCTAAGGGTCAGAGTTTGGGAATGAGTTCAAGGGTTGAGTCAAAGTTTTGAGACGAACATTGGGTGATGAGTCAGGTTCAGATGAAGGTCAAGATCATGAGCATGGTTCAAATGGGGTTGAGATGGAATTTAGGGTTGGGTTTGGAGTTGAGGCCAAGGCCAGATTCAAAGTTTGAACTCAGGTGTGAGGTCAGCATTGCAAGGTGGGTCGGGGTTGGGGTTTGGGTAGGACTGGGTCAGGGTTTGGCTAATGAGGCATTTGAAGACAAGGTTTGAGTTGGGATTGAGGTTAAGGTCTCAAACAGGGTTGAGATTGGGGCTGAGGTTCTGGATTGAGTCAGGTTCTGGGGTGAGTTCATACTGGTTGTCAACATGGAGGAGTAGATTAGGGTTGGAAGTGAGTCTGGGCCCGAGTCCAGGTGTAGGACACTGTCCCTTCCCATCGGGGACCCAGGGGGTGGTCGCAAAGCCAGGAGCACCTACCGGGGAGCCGGGGTGTCCCACAGGACCCCGTATCCCTGTTGGTCCAGGTGGGCCCTGGAGGAGGAAACAGTTGAAAATCCCTTAAGTTCAAGATTGGGGGTTGGCACTAGAGATGTCAATCATTGTCCCCTGCCCACTGCCCCCAGCAGGAAGCCACAGCTGTGCACACACCCTAACCCTGTCTTCCTAGCCACCCGCTGATGGGATCAGACACAGACATCTATCCTAAGCTCGGCCCATCAGGCTGTTCCCCAGACATCCCACCAGCACCAGGGACTGATTCTGGCAGCTGTGGCTGAAGCCAAAGGAATGACATGCCACCAAGGAAAGGCAGAGGCGGGAGCAGCTGCCTCAGCGCCCTCCCCGTCCTCCGGGGCCCCAGAAGCTCTGTTGGCCCCTTCATTTCAGGTACTTGCTTCTGTGACTCGCAGGTGTCAGGATGGGGCTCAGGGAGGGAGGAAGCTCCACGGCCTCCCCTCCGTCCCCTTACCCCGCCCATCTCCACATCCCTCTCCCCTCCCTGAGGACTTACCCCCAAGTGGGACCCCCACTTACCGCATCCCCCTTATCGCCTTTGCTCCCCTTGTGGCCAGGGGTACCCACTTCTCCCTGCAGAGGAAACAGGATGAGGAAGGACCCCCCCCCCTCAGC